CAGGGAAGGGTAGCTGGATGGCAGGGGATGGGAGTGAGGAGTGTTACCTTTGGCATTTTGAATCCTGTAGCTCTAGTACCTATTGAAAGCTTTTTTTTTTTAAGTTAGATTTCCAAGTTTCTATCTTGGATAGTGTGGCTCAATACATTTAAGGTGGCACCTGGGAATTCATAGATATTTTTTAAACGACAGCTTAGTGAGATCTGATTGATTCATGTATCATAAGATCCATCCTTCTCCTAAGCGTACAATTCAGTGGGCTTTAGGGCATTCACAGAGTTGCGCAACTGTCATCACTAATTCCAGAACATTTTCATCACCCCGAAAGGCAGTCCCTGATCCATTAAGTAGTCAGTCCCTGTTCCTCTCTCCCAAGCTCCAGGCAGGTGCCCGTCTACTTTTTGTTTCTCTGGATCTGCCTATTCTTACTATTTCATGTAAAAATGCAGTCTTACAATACAGGTCTTTTATGATCGACTCCTTTCATTTAGCATCACGATTTCAAGGCTCACCCATATCGGAGCCTGTATGTATGTGTACGTGACATCCACGTACGTTCAGAGGAGCTGCCGGGTCCTGCAAAGCGGCTGTACCGTGATACGTTCCCATCGGCGATATTGAGCCTGGGAACCTGCATTTTTTTTGCAAGGCTGATGATTCTTGTGATAAAGCAGTTTTGGAAAACTGGCTCTGAGAGGAGCTCAGTCCCTCTTCCTGGGAGCAGGGATGCTGGCTGTGTCTGCCCTCTGCCAGTAGCCGGCAGCACTGAAGGACAAGTCAGAACGAACTCTAGGGTGGGACCAGCTGGGCCTCAGTGGTATTTTTGGTTTTCTTTACTTTCTTTTTTTTTTTAAGTGGGTTGTGGAAAAGAAGCCTGGTTGTTCCATGAAACCTCAGAAGATTCAGGTAGAAAAAGATATAGCATAGGGAAGCTTGTACATATACCTGCTTTTTCCTTCCCCTTGTGAAACAGGAATAATAGTCTTTGTGGATGGCAATCTGATTTCTCCTTTTTCTGTAGGTCTTTAAAACAAAACAAGGGGTGCGTGGGTGGCTCAGTTGGTTAAGGATCTGACTCTTGATTTTGGCTCGGGTCCTGAGATCTGCACTCAGCGTGGTGTCTACTGGAGATGCGTGTGTGCTCTCTCTCTCTAATAGCCACAAAAGTGTTCAGTGGTATTGATGAGATTATTCCAAACTCCATGAGGAAAAACTGTTTTCATATACAGTAGGATTTGAGCCCTAATTACAAAGTCGAAATTGAGAAGTCTCCTAGATAAGATTTTATATATGGAGTAAGTCTTCTGAGGATAGAAATAAAAATCTGCTTTGCAACACTGTGGAACATTGCCTGCCCCAACCCCTAAATAACTGTTTATTTTAGCTCTCTCCTTTGGAATGGGAACTGAGTGGGGCATTTGTGAGGAACAGAGCGCCAGGCACAAAGCTGCTCCCTCTTTAATGAGGCATAATAATAGGCACTTTTCTTGGGGCCACTTGGTAACAAACGCATAAATAGAATAAATAAATGGTCTTTCAAGTTGTTCTGAGCAGAGTTTTGGATTCCGCTGAGAGAGGCTCTTCACCTTGTTCATTATGGACTTAATGTTTTCACCAGAAAGCAATTGCTATAGAGCCATGGGGACAGAGAGCTTTTCCTGCAGAAGGAAGACAGCCAGACCTGGTGGGGTCCAGGCCTGCCTGAGCTTAAAGGGGGGTAATGGCAGTGGTGAATTCAGCTCTGTTTCTTTATCGTGTAGTGTGGTTACGTATCAGTGATATGAAATGTATCACTGTAAGCATTTTTCAGTGTGCAGTTCACTGGCTTTAGGTGCATTCACAATGCCATGCAATCCCCTCACCGCTGTCCACTTCCAGAACGTTTTCCTCATTCCAGACTGAATGAAAAGCATATCCCTGAAAACAGTAACTACACCCCGCTCCCTGTTCAGCTGTCTGCTCTACGAATTTGACTCCTCTGCCTCAGGAAAGGGAAATCCTATGCATTTGTCCTCTGGTCCGATCTATTTTCTTAGCGTGATGTTTTCAGGATGTGTGCATGTTGGGGCACATGTTAGAATTTCCTTCCTTCTCAGGCTGAATGCTATCCCATGGTGTGGATGTTTCGCATTTTGCTTATCTGTTCCTCTGCTGGCAGATGCCCGGGTTGTTGCTGCTGTTTGGCCCTTGTGACCTGTCCTTCCACACACACTCTTGCACACATACCTGTTTGAGTCTCTGCCATCATTTCTTTGGAAGGTACTCCTGGAAGTGGAGCTGCGGGGCCAGGTGGTAGGTCCGTGTGTCACTTTCTGAGTGGCCACCAAACCAGTTCCTACAGCCGCTGAGCGGTTTCACGTCCCCACCCGCGGTGCACCAGCGTTCCGGTTTCTCAACATCTTTGCCAACGCCTGCTAGTCACTGATTTTCAGCAGTGCCCATCCTGATGTTATCTCCTAGGGATGAAATCTCACTTTGGATTTGATTTGCATGTTTCTAATGATTATTGATGTTGGGCATCCGTTCATGTGCTTGTTGACCATTTGTGTGTTTTCTTCGGAGAAATGTCTATTCAGGTCCTTTGCCCGTTGTTGATCAGGTTACCTGTTTTGCTCTTGCTGGAGAATGTCTTCATATATTCTAGATACAAACCCCTTATCAGATCTAGGAGTTGCAGGTTGATTTTTTTTTTTTTTAGTGCAGATTTGATTGCATTGCTTAGAGTGGGCGATGGCCTTGACCATCCCTGGGCTACTTTAACCTGGCCACTCACTTTCTGAGCCTCTTTCCTTATGTGGGCATGGAAACCATTGTGCCTTCCCCACAGGACTGCCGAGGACTAAGAATACAAACTGCTTTACGACAGGGCCTGGGAGTCTCCCTGGTTCCCTCCAACGCTGCCTTTTACTACTGTCTGTAGCCTGAGACAGGAGACCCTGCAGCCTCCACCTCTGTCTACCAGAGTCCGCATCACGTGTCTTTTCCCAGCGGCCCTGTATCTAATCTCTTTCTGTCCGGAAAGATGGACATCAGCTTCTTTGTGTCCCCCCCCCTCCGCCCCCGACCAAAGGACACAACAGGCTCCGAGAAAATAGTTATTTAGTGTGATCACGTTGGTCTCACCCCGATGTCGACTCTCGCCTCCTTTTCTCTGTGTGCTCACAGTGCCTGTTCACCGCTTGGTGAATGTGGTAGGGTTGTGAGTTCAGTTTGGGAGAGACAGCCTGGGAAGGGAGTTTCTGGAAAGCTCTGAGAGAGCTGCCTTTCCTTAACGTGGTTTTTGTTGTCTTTTTTTTTTTTTTTTTTTTTTTTGCTTTGAAAAGGGAAGAGAAGGCACCCCACCCCCCACCAGCTGCAGCCGCACACTCTTCTCATTAAGTGCAGGCCTTTGTTGTTGCATGTGCCCCTCTGGGGTGCTGGGTGGGGTTCCGGCGGGGGTTCAGGATGCCGTGTGCCAGTGCGTGTCCTCTCCGCATCACTGGGAGTCGTTCCGGAGTGGAAGTGTACTTATTTGGACCATGCAAACGTTTGATCTTCTTGGGTAGTTTAAGATTTCACTTGTCAGGTCAGTGTTTTGTCTGTTTTGACCTTGAGGCTTTTTCTCATGGTGAATGCTTTGGCAGTTCTAGAAAGAACTCTGTCTCCCTCTCAGCCCCCACCTCAGTCCTTCCTCCTCTCCCCATCCATTCCTTCCTGTCTCTGCCCTCCCATTGCTGCCTCCCGCCCAGCTCTTCCTCTTTCCATCCCCCTCTTCCTCTTCCTCTCCCCTTGCCTTGCTTTCTCTCACCCTTTGAGGTCTTCTTGTTCTACAGAATACTAAACATTTTTTTTAAATATCTTCATTTCCCAAGTGATTCTCTGGAACAATTCACCTAGTCGGAAGTCTCTAAAGCTGTGTATGCATGTGTGCACGTATGTGCACGTGTGGATTCCTTCAGATGTCTCAGTTATTTCTTTAACAAATCCAGGGTGCGCCAGGGTAGACGCAGGCAGATGGGAGTTTGCGCCCTACTCTGCCTCAGTGTACCCAGGACCCTGACGCAGGACCATTCGTCCTTCCACACCTTGGTTCCCGTCTGTGAAGTGTGCCCGGTGACTCTGCTTCCCCATGCGGGGCACTGGAGGGTTCCGGCAAGCAGTCCAGGTTGAGCCCTCAGTCCCCACAGCTGTGATTTCTTGGCTTTCTATAAAAATTTGCCACTTGCTTATTTCACTTAATTCTTAAAGCCAGTTTGCAGTTCTTTGAGCTGAGTTGCTCAGTGAAGGAAGGAGGGAGAGAGGGGGAGATGGAAGGCAACAGCAGTGCCCTCTCAACTCTCAACTGAATGTTCCACCAGTCGGTTAAGGTTGCAGAAACCCTCTTGTGGGACCTGTCCACTGTATGGGGCCCTCAACGTGGCCCAACTTCCACAGAACTCTCAGGACGGGCCTGCAGGCCTAGTGAAGAACAAAGCAGAACCTGAATTTTTCGGAGTTCTCATACACAGACTTTTCTTCTGTCTTGCAGCTGATGCCTTTTTCAAAGCCGCTATAAGCCTCATTCCAGAAGTTCCAAAGATGATTAATATCGATGGAAAGATGCGACCGTCGGAGTCATTCCTTCTGGAATTCCTCTGCAATTTCTTTTCTACTTTATTAATAGTTCCGGTACGTTTTGCCAGAAGAGCTATAGGTGATGTCCTTCTTTGATCTGCTTTATATACATTCTTAGCCCTAAAAGTGCAGGGACGTCCTATCTGTATCTTTGTGTTGGTTTTCTAGTCAGATGTTAAATTACTCAATTTATCTTCTTTTCTTTTCTTTTTTTTAAACTATTATTTATTATGTAATCTCTTCCCCCAACGCAGGGCTCAAACTCATGATCCCGAGATCCCACATGCTCTGTTGACCAAGCCAGCCAGGTGCCCCTAAATTATTCAGTGTATTTTACATTCATTATGTGTCCTGGGTGTCTTAGTTGAGGTTCTCATACGATCAAGGGGGTGCCACTTACTGGGTAAGGGCTCAGGTCTTGGTACCGAGATGCCTAGGGTGGAACCTCGGCTCCCCCTCCTTCCAGCTCTGCAGGCTCGGGCAGTCATGTCCCATGACTGGGCTGCAGTCTTCTCATCTATAAAATGGAAATAATAATAGTGTCTCTATCTCTGGATTGTTGGGAGGGTTAAGGGAGTGAATATACATACGCGATTAGAACAGTTGGCACATACTCAGCCCTGTAAAAGGTGTTGGTGATGTTCTTTCAGTGGCAACTACTAGAAACCAAAACAAGGTGGCTGAGGTCAAAGGAGACATTGTTGGAAGCGTGCTGGGGTTTCTCGTGGGACATACTGACGAGCAGTCAGGCTTGAGCTGGCAGGAATCAAGGCCCCTCTCCAGACCCAGCACCAGGACCCTCAGTATCTAGCAGGGGTTCTTAACTCGGGGTCTGCCTACTCCCTGAAGGTCTGGCGGGGGCAACCATGAATTTAGATGAGAAAAAAAAAGATCTTAATTTTTACAAATCTCAGTGAATAAACTTAGCCCTTTGCTTCACTGTGAGTTATAGGCAACGGGCCACATAGTAGTGACATAGCTGGGACTTTGTCACCAACGAAATCAGCCATATGTTCTTAACATATTTCAGGTGTGACATATTTCAGAGGATGGCTAATTAAATGTATTCATCAAGAAGTAATAGAACACGATATGACAAATACATTGAAAAAATATGTTGACAATATATTTTAGCATAATTGGTTTCCTTTGTAGTCTTATGTATTTTATTTTCTGCATTAAAAATTGTGTTCTGAGGAGCCCGTAGCCTTCACCAGGCTGTGACAGGGCCAGGCACAAAACAAGACTGGCTCCTGGTAGAGCCAAATGTCTGTAGGAATCAGGAATCCTTGTTAAAATACAGATTCTTGGGCCCCCTCTTCCAGAGAGGCTCACTGAAGAGTTTGGGGTTGGGCCCTGAGTCAGCATTTTTGAAAGCCTCTTGAGTAAGTCAGGGGTGGACAGTCCTAGAACCACACTTTGACAGGAAGTAACTCTGCTCTCATGGGTACAAGGTTCCTTTCTGGGGTGACACAAATGTTCTAAAATTGATTGTGGTGATAGTTGCACATCTCTGTGACTATACTATCACTGAAGTGTGCATTTTGTGTGGCTGAATTGTCTGGCATTCGAATGGTCTTGTGGAGGAGCTGAGGAGACAAAAAATGACTCGGTTTCCAAGTGTCTCAGTTGAGATCCCAAGTTCTCCAGAGAGAGGATGGTGTGGCCAAGAGCTCAATGCTTGGCTTCAGTGTTTTCAGATCACTTTCTTAGTCCTTTGTATCATCGGTTTCTCTTTTTTGGATAGCCCAGTTGTCAAGTGAGGGGACTAAAAAGAATCAGAGTTTCTAAGGAGCCAGCTGATGAATGTCATTGTTTACTGGTGAATTGGGATGCATTTTCCTTCTGCACATGGGGTTTTCTTCACGTCAAAAATCACTGGAGCCTTGACAAAAGCCTTGTGCTTGGAGTCAGAAACTTGAGTGCCGTCTGACCCAGTGACTCAGCAGCATTGTGGCTTTGGGAAAGTTTTCTAACTCTTCGGAGCCTCAATTGTCACCTTTCTAAAATGTCACCAGAATGCCCACCTGGCAGGGCTGCTGTAAGGCTGGATGAAACAACAGATCTGAAAGTGCTTCGGGACCCAGAAGCTCTGTCCCTGGGGCTGCGCATGGATGACCAGTGGGTGGAATCCAGCCCGTAAACAGGCTCTTTTGGCCACATAATGATGGAAAACATTTGGAATGAATTACCCACATTTAAAAATTGTTGGATCACAGAAAAACCCGATTTTCAGCTCCTCTTGAAAAATCCGATCCCGCCATGTGGGGCCCGCATTCTCCGACCTGGCCAGTTGGCCACAGCTTGGGAGCAGCTGCCCCATTTTGGGGGGCGGTGCCCTCTCTGCAGTTCCAGTGGGCACCTCCGGACCCACTGAACCCATTTCTGTTGCCTATTGGCCCCTTAGGCATTCATGGGAATGTCCCCCTGGTCTCAGCAGATTTTCTCGTTCCCGGTATCAGTGTGCATGCTTTTGCTGGGGTTTAGTAAAGATAATGAGATGAAGAATAGCCCCAGTGCGACTGCTCATCCATTGCCTTGTGCCGGGAAGTCCTTCCGCATCATTCAGTGTCTAGGATTCCTCCCCCCAAGCCCTGCAAGGGAGGAGTCACTGTGCCTTGTCCACTTAGGGCACCCCGGAGCTGGGGAGCCCGTGCGGCTTGCCTGAGGCCGCACAGCTAGTGAGCAGCGAAGTCAGGATTTGAACCCAGGTCTTTGCCGCTCCGGAGCCTGGCTGCAGCATCTGAGCCTGAAACGTTTACAGTGCACTTATCTGCTCGAGCTTGAGCCTTAGCAACCGTCTGTCCCTCCCATGGGATGCAGCTACCACGGGCGGGCTTTAAGGGCCCAGATGTTCAGCCTGAAGAGCCGAGGCTAAGCGCTGAGTGGGCTCCCGGGCCAGAGGATGGGCTGCACCTGAGGTGCGTCTGTTGTGAGGAGGTTTAGCGTGGAGACGACTGTCCTATCCCACTTATATCCTGGTTCACATCATATCCTTTCATGTCACAGCTTTTACTGTTTAATTTTTTTCATTTAATGTTATTGTTGTAAGGACACTTAAAACGAGATCTACTCTCAACACATATTTAAGTGTATGATACGGTAGGATTGACTACAGGCACAGTATTGGACAGAGATCTCTAGAGCTTATTCGTCTTGCCAATTGAACCTTGAAGCCCACTGATGAGTAACTCCCCGTTTCCTCCTCCCCTCCAGCCCCTGGCAGCCACCATCCCACCCTTTGATTCTGTGAACGTAACTGTTTCAGATGGCCTTATATAAGCAGAATCATGCAGTATTTGTCTTTCTGTGATGGGCTTATTTCACTTAGCTTAAGAGCCTCCAAGGTTCATCCATGTTGTCGTATTTGACAACATTTCCTTCTTTTTTAAGGCTGAATATTAATCTGTTGTAGATCAGGTTTTCTTCATCCATCAATGGGCATTTAGGTTCTTTCCATATCTTGGCTACTACAAATAGCGCCGCACTAAGCATGGGAGTACTAATATCTCTTAGAGATCCTGATTTCAACTCTCTGGATAAATACCCAGAGGTGGCATTGCTGGATCTTAGGGTAGCTCTATTTTTAACTGTTTGAGGAACCCCCATACTGTTTTCCAGAGTGGCTGCATCAGTTTACATCCCTGCCAACTGTGTACAAGGCTTTTAAAAGGCCTTGATTCATTTTATTTGTTGAGAAAAAACTTGAAGTGATTTTAGACTAAATAAACTACCTGGCCCACTTTATTCATATTTAGAAATGCAGAAATAAACATTCCCCCAGGCCAGCCCTCTCTCTGGCAAACTGTACCGGTGTGGGAGCATTTGGAAGCATTCTGCTTTGGTGTTCGCCGCAGTCAGCCTCTTGGTGGGCTGCAGAGAGATTTCTCTATATAACTGAGCTAATGCATTTCTCCTAACATTTTGGTAGGACATGTAGTCTTCATTGAATAGGTTCATTGTTAACACTTCAGAGGCCTAATTTTGATTCAGTTGACTTTTATAGGCAATGGAAATGTTACTACCATCAGTTTTCTGGCCCTGATCACCTAGGACACAGCAGGGAAACGTCTTTTTCTACTCCTTATCCTTGTGAAGAGGTCCAGCCCTGAGCATGACATGGGGTCTGAGTGCTGAGCTTCATTCATCCCATCTATTCTGTAAATACTTGCTGATCTGGGAATTCAGGAGGGAACCAGAGAAGTGCGTCCTCCACTCAGGAAGACAGACACTAAACAAATAAATACATACTTAAAACTACAGTTGTATAAAGTCCCACAAAAAAATACAGGGACTTCTGAGAACCCAGATTTGAAAGGAAGTGGGTCAGGGAAGTTTCCCAAGAACGTGCTGCTAGAGCTGAGATCCACAGGATGACTAGTAATGAAGGGCCTCGGGGGGACAGGAGAGGGCATTCTGGGCAGAGGGGGCAGCATGGGTAAAGGCCCTCAGGTGGGAAGGCACACCCTGCATTGGAGGGACCAGAAGAGAGCCTCAGTGACTCGTCTGTGGTGGTGCTGAGGGACACCGGGGGCGTGAGCCAGTCAGGCAGGCGTGGGCTCCTGCAGAGCCACGTAGTCCCCCAGACAGTGAGCTGGTTCCTGACAGCCTCGCATCCCCATGCCGCTCTGTGCCCCGCCCTCCCACTTCATTTCCCCCTCTTTCCTGCCCTGCTCCTTCCAGCGCCATGCCCCATCCTGCCCCATGTTCTGGCTCCTTTTCTGAAGGACTTTATTATTTATCACCAACACTTACACACCCCTTCCAGTGAGCCAGCCAGAAGTTCACAAATACTCCACAAACAGGCCTGTTACTCTCTTCATTGGCACAGAGAGGTGAAGGGACTTACCCAGGGTCACCAGCTCGTAAGCAGCCAAGACCAGAGTAAAAGCCAGGATGTCTGTGCTCAGTGCATCTTTGCCGCCTCTGATCTTCACGATCCTGGGAAATCAGTCATTTCTGGGGTATTCCTTCTTCTGCCAAGGAATGGCATTTAATACAGGGATTCCTGCAGACCAGAACCAGGGACCCAAAGGGATATTGCGAATAGTGGAAGCCAGGTCACCTGTCTGTCCATCTGAGAGAGAGAGAGTTGATTGGGAGCTGCCTCATAAGCACTGGTTTGCTCTGTCAGGGAGGCAGCCTCGGCAGGGATGTGGGGGGGGTGCCGCGGGGGCACCTTGCTCTGCTTGCATTGCCAGCTGAATCCAGGACCTTTTTGTTCTTCTAATTTTGTTTTTAAAGATTTATTTATTTATTTTAGGGAGTGGGGGAGGGGCAGAGGAAGAGAAAATCCTGAAACAGATTTCCCGCTGAGTGCGGAGCAGGACACAGGGCTCCATCCCAGGACCCTGCGATCATGACCTGAGCTGAAACCAAGGGCGGGCCACTTAACTGAGCCACCCAGGCGCCCCTTTCTCTTCTTCCTCTTTTTTTAAATCTGTGTTTGCTCGCCTTGTTTCGGTTGCTGGCACTGAAGTATCAAAGTACAATTAAAAAAAAAATGTTACAACCACTGAAGCATGGATATCCTATGGAAAACTTTTTCCTGGTGCAGAAGGTTGGAAATAGTCTCATCTCTTCAGTTATGAGCAAAAAGCTCCCGGAAATGGCTTACTGCAGACCTTTCTGTCTCCATGACCCCTTCCTTCCCCCTCGGTGGAGGTGTGCTGAATGGGCTCCCACTGCAGTTACGATGGCGGGGTTGAAATTGTGACTGGAACATTCAGATTGTTGTTTCTTCCCAAGGCAGATCCTTAAATAAAAAATATTTTTGAACATCCACGTAGCAGAACAAAATAGCCCAGTCAGAAACAGCTGTTCACAGAGAGCGGCAGCAGTAAGTTGCCAGCTGAGAGCGACTCTAAATGGAAGGCAGACCACAGCGAGGGCGATTTTGATCACTCTAGTCTGAGGCGCTCAGCCTCGAGTGCATCGTGCGTCCTCTCTCTTGCTGATACCCAGGCACAACTCCTGTAGATGTTAACAGCTGTACCAAACCTCTCACACCCCTCCACCCTCCTTCCCCTGGTCGAAAGTGTACTACTGGTCAGTTCCCAGCCGTCCTGGTCCCAGCATTTGTCGTCCTCCGTGCAGGTATTCACAGTGGCTGGCGTATGTGTGTGGCTTCCCCCCCGTTAGCCGGCTCCATCAGGTCAGAGAGTGGCAGCGTAAATGTTAGCAGGAGTCTGTGCTCGAGCCCTGGTTCTTCCGCGGACCAGCCATGTGACACGGGGCCCGTTGACGTCTCCGGGGCTCATCTGCCATCTGTGAAATTAGGGCCTGGTCATAACAGTATCCTTCTGGAACGTAGAAAAGCTACCGTGGTGACCATGAACGTTAGCGACTGTTGTCTGTCTTTGTAGCCACCGTAGCGCCTGGCACGGAGAAGGCACTCTGGCTGTGATACGTTCGGCACTATTTACTGAGTGCTTGCCATGTGCCCGGCACTACCCCAGAGCCAGGGACAGGGACGGGGCACCGATCACATCGTGTTCCCTGGGCAGCCCTGGCTGTGAATTGGCAACTACGACAGCTGAAGTACTTGCCCTCCCAGGGCTCAGAGGCTAGGATGAAAGAGAGAGAAACGTAAACCAAGAGATGCCGTCAGAGATATTCCCAGAAGGAATAAATAAGTCACTTCAGAACTGCTCTGAAAAAATAAGGACGATTTGTGATGGAGACTGGGGGAGGGGGTGTGGAAGGCTCTGGATGGATGACCAGGGAAGGCCTCAATGAGGAGCCCGCACGAAAGATGGGATCTAGAGACCATCGAGGAGCGGGTCCGGCCAGGTCTTGCAGATGAAGATTTCAGCCCGAGGGAACAGTAGGGCCGGGAGGCCAGACCTCCTTGGCACACAAGCTGCCGGCTGTAGCCTCCTTTGTTTGCCCTTCCATGGAGATCGGTGTGGGAGACTGGCCCCCGGGGACTGCGTCACCCGGGCGTGCTTCCTTCTCTCCCAACTCGTTTCAGCCAGGGGCCGGGACCGACTGCAGACTGGAAGCAGGAGTGGAACAAGTTTGGGGTATTTATCCCCTCACGCTTACTGGCCCGTGGTTTGGCAATGGCCTTGTTCTTCTACCAAGGCCGCGGTGGCCTGGCAGGACTGTGGGGGGTCCAGCTGGTCCCAGCAGCCATAAAGGTGTGGCCACCAGGTCAGCAAGGCGATGGTGGCAGGGCCCGGGCACTCACCCCTGGCGGTAGAGGTCTGGGGGGGGGGGGGCTGTGTTCAGGAGGAGAGCCCCAGAATCCCAGGTAGCCTGTCGGAAGGGAAGCCAGCTGCCAGCTTTTTACCGTCTGGAACCCTCTTTTGGTTCATTTCAGCATCTGAGAAACACCATTCTAAACTCGGAGTGTCTCTTGGGTTTTTCCTTTCCCAAGAGAGTGTCCTCAATTTAGCTGTTAATGTCACTGAACGCCCTAAAGAGCAATGCTATGTTTAAAGCTGGTGCCTTTGGTAGTGACAGTGATCATTTGGGGGGGCGGGGTTACCCAAAGTAGGTGGCTTCCACTGTTGCATCTGCTGCAAGACCCGCAGTCTTGCTTTTGTAGTCGAAGGAACAGGGCTTTTTACTGCTACACACATGGGAGAACAAGACTGTAATTTTGGAAACAGGCCATTAAGCTGATAGGTAACTTGGCCTTCTCGATTCCTTGGATCCAAGGAGGCTCTCAGGGCTTGTCTCCCAAGAGTGGAGCATGCTCATCAGTGGGGTTAACAACAGTCTCTGTTTTCTCGGTGTTCCTGAACCAGGCTCATGAGTGGGCTTGCCTCCGGGAAGTGGCCGGCCACTGTAAGTCCTCCACAGCTGCAAACGGGAGGGACCTGGGCTTCTGTCTTCATGGTTTTGGGGGCTTTTCCCCCCCGCTTCCTGCCTCGTATCTAGGATTAATTCTCCTGTTTTGGCTTTCCACTAGGATCATCCCGAACATGGGGTCCTGTTTCTTGTTCGAGAGCTTCTCAACGTGATCCAGGACTACACCTGGGAGGACAGCAGTGATGATAAAATCCGCATCTACACCTGCGTCCTGCACCTGCTCTCCGCCATGAGCCAGGAGACCTACCTCTACCACATAGACAAAGGTAGTGGGGTGCCCTCCTCCCATACTGCTCCGAGCTTGAAGTTCATGAAAGTCCAGTGAAATTTTTTTTTGTTTTCTTTGATTAATCTCCTGGGTTTTTTACCCACCAGGAACTTCTACTCCAGGGCCTTGCTAAATGTGCCCAAATAAGAATTCCCTGAGCAGATTCCTGAGCCCCATCCCACCCCTTCTTAATTAGGATCCCCAAGAAGAGGCCTGAGAATTTCGTCTAGAACAAACATCCAAAATCATTTCAACAGTCAGACAAGTTTAGAGAAGCACTCTTTTGGATCTGTGCTCTGTCTGGTGCACTACGAGTAACCTAGAAAGGTGGTTACATACATACATGCCTGAGCTTCATTCAGGGTCTGCCCCTAACCCCAGTCTCAGGTGGGACTTTACCCAGTTCTTCAAGTGGTGCTGAGATTCTGTGAACCCCTAGTTAAGATGCTCAGAAGGAAGGAGGTGGCCTTGTTCCCCTGTGTGCTACCAGCCATTCTGAATTTGCTGCTAGAAATTTGAAAGCGGACTTCTCATATCCTGGACACACAGGACAGTCCCAACTCCAGACCTTTGCCTGCAGAGCCCAAGCATCTACTTGCTTATCAAACCCTCAGTTCCAGTGATTGGTTTCCCAGAACATGGCCCTACTGTTAAAAGTGCTTTGGCCAGTAATGACATACTTGAGGGTTTAAGCAACTGTCTCTATACACTTGGAAATTTCAGGAAGCAAATTCGCAGGAGGGCCTTCCCCTATGACTCTCAGAGGCTTCCTCTAGCTGGGATTTGGGGGCTAATCGTTAAGATGTAACTTAGGGAGGCTGGTTGATGTCAAGGATGACAGCTCCCACGACTTGAGCTCCTACTGCATGCCAGGTAGCACACCAGACTCCGCGGATCTTCCTCCTGTACTCCTTACAGCACTGCAGAGTGTAAGACAAGCGTGGGTGCCCCCACTTTCCATTCCAGTAAGGGGACACTCAGACCCTGAGGTTTACTCAAGGTCCGATAGCCAGTTAGTAACAGAAGTGGAATTTACGCCCCAGAACTGTGGGGCGTGTATCATGCTCCCTCCTCAATTACAAAAGAACAGTGTTTTAATTAAAGTGTAACACGCTACGTACGTACTATCCGCTGTAAAGCTCAGTGACTCATCACACAGTGAGCACACCCAGGTAACCCTCCCCCCAGATCGTGCCCCCCTTCCAGTTAGCACCACCACTTCCTCTGCATGGTTCACCACTTCCTCTGCATGGTTCACCACTCTCTCGACTTGTAGCATCGCACGTTAGTTTATACAGTTCTCACTTTTATGTGAATGAAGTCATTTAGCATGCATACTTTGGTGTCTAGCTTCTTTTACTCAGTATTCCGTGTGTGAGCTCTGTCTGTGTTGTGCGTAGCCGAATTCCTCCTTTTGCATTGCCGTGTCATATTCCATGGCGTGACCGTACCAGAATTCATTCATTGCCTGACGGATGAATCATGTGCATGTTTCCAGTGGTTCTGGTTCTGGCCGTGAACATTCTTGGACATGTTCTTCGTGTACATTTCTGTTGGCTCTGTGCCTACAGGTGGAGTCGCTGGCTCATGGAACTTGCTTATGTTCAGCTTTGGTAGACACTGTCTCATGGTCTTCCAAAACAGTTGTACCCATTGACAACCCCACCAGGCATGAATGAGGGTTCCCTTTGTTCCTTCCCTGCGGTCAGTCTTCTTCATTTTGGCTCTTCTGATGAGTGTAATCTGCATTTCTCTGATGACTAATGAGATTGAGCACCTTTTCCTTTATCTGTTGGCATTTTTATTTCCTCTTTTTTGCCAAGTGCACACTGAGGGCTTGCAACTCTAGAGACTTCTGAGGACCAGGCACTGACGTGGAAGTGGGTCTGCAAACCTCAGGCCCTGTGAGAGGGGCAAGCCCTCTCTTCCCTCTTCTGGAGCAGATTCGTTTAACCCTCTAAGCTTACCACAGCCACGGCAGACTGGGGGGCCGGAGTGCTAGCTAGCAAAGGGAGCGTGGCTAGGTTTGATAGGCAGGAGCCTTTTAGACTTATAGCTTTTAGAGGAGAAAGCGGAAGGATGGGTGGGTTTTTTTTCCCTTTTTTCTTGGCCCAGCTGTGTTTACTCTGGATGCATAATTGTGACCTGACAATCGTCTTGGTAGGAGAGAGGCCCAGGGGGCCCAAAGGAGGCTTTGCTTTCCCATCCCTTATTCTAGGCAGCCTTGTAGTGTTGACACAGGTTAGAACTTCTGAAGAACTAGGGTCACAACTTTTTTGCATTTCCAAAGGATGCCTTTGCTGCTTTCTTTTTCTGTTAATAAGATGGTATTGTGAAATCACCTGGAGCAAGAACCCCAGCGCTTTCACCCAAGCCTGTGAGAGAGTGGGCGTGTTCCACATGGAAGGGGAGGATGGCGGAGTACTGAATGTTTACTTCATATGCAGATAGCGTCGATCTGGCTGGAAGACCACAAACCCAGGATGCCTCCATGGAGCCATTGTAGCCCCTTGGCTGCTCCACGCCACCTGCCAGGCCCTTGAGGCGTTGAGGGTCATGATCCTCGGGCCAGACAGATGCAGGGACTGTGGGCTATTCTTAGTGTCCGCTTGCCAGGGATGTCATTTATCTCCCTCATACGAGCTGCGCCTGGATTCGCAGGGCCACTGCACACACTGGTCTGACCAACTTCCTTCTAATTCTCAAGTTTCTCCTTTCCTCCCTCTGTCACCACCAAGTGTTAGCATGGAAAACTCATCCCGCCCCCCGTTCCCCCTTTAGCACTTCATCTAGTGAATTTAACCTGTAGAGCTTAGCCTGATCTTGCTAATTCCAGAGTTCCATCCCAGGCCTAGATTTTAGGAGCTCATAACCCTTTGCACTGCCCGCTTCTAACAATCAGTACATGCTGTTGTGATTGCCTCTTTGCTGGTCTGCATCTCCTTACAGTCTGTGAGCATCTGTGAGGCAGGGACTGAATCAGCCTTGCCCCCCTGGGTCCCCAGCTCCTAGCCTGGATCCTGGTGCAGAGCAGGCCCTCATCCAGGAGGGGCAGAGAAAGAGAGAGAGAGAGTGTGTGTGTGTGTGTGTGTGTGTGTGTGCGTGCGCGCACACGCGCAAGTGAGCAGCCTGCTCTGAACACACCCCTGGCCCCTCTGGGGAGGAACCCTGGTGTGTGTTGGCCATGGGCGGTCTTAGACCTTCTCTCTTTTCCAGTGCTGAGCTCATCAGAAAGAGAGTAGATTCCAACCCGGAGTAAGCCTAAGAATTTATGCCAGGAACTATTCTGGTCCTCAGCAGTAGACTTGAGAAATTCCTTCCTGCCGCCCTGCAAACTCAGGTGGTGGTGAATGGCTGAATCACATTCCTTTACCAGAATCCCAATCTTTTACATTCTTTTAAGAGAATAGCTGTCCTCCTCTGACTGGTGGATAGCAGTTAAGACGCAGCTCCATACACAGGCAGTTCAGAAGTGGATTAGAGATCGCCTTTACACAGAGAGGCTGGGGAGCAAGGAGACTGCTGGGGAGCAGTTCTTATTTTTAGGCAACGTGTCTGCAATCTGCTTACGACTGGTTCAGCCACAGAACTCCATTATGTGTCTGTGTGTCTGTATGTGTGTGTCGTGGAGAGCACAGGTATGTATTCAGTGTACTGTTTTCCCGACTTTTCGGCAGCCTTGCCAGTTTTCAAAATAAAAAGCAGTAAGGAGAGTTGTTATTCTTGAAATAGCAACTAGAAATGTACAGAAGGCATATCTGAAATTAATTAATTACTGTGTGCTTATTCCCATCCCATTCTCTGGAAGGTTCAAGATGACAGGAAATCATGAAATTTAATTTTTTTAATTAAAAGAATTGGTTCTTAAGCAGCTATAAATTAGGAAATATAGATGTACACATATCGGCTCTACTATGGATACTTTTGTCACTTTTTAAAAATTAATAGTATCTTATAATGTTATTAATAGTATGTTATAACAATAATATACTGTAGTATGTGGTAATTAATAACTATAAATCATATACTTTTATTATTCTCCAAGTATTTAATACTGTAACAGAGCATTTATTTTTTATTTTTTTTTTTTTAAAGACTTATTTGAGAGAGAGCGTGCATGTAAGGGGAGGGGCATAGAGAGAGAAATCCTCAGGCAGACTCCCCCGCAGAGCATGGAGCCCGATGCAGGGCTCGGTCTCACAACCCTGAGATCACAATCTGAGCCAAAATGAAGAATTAGACGCTTAACCAGCTGAGCCACCCAGGCGCCCCTGTTGGATTATTTTCTTAAAAATAAATACCTTGGAATGGCTTCCCCAAGTCAAAGATAAGGACTTTTTGTACTAAGGCTTTTTTTACATTTTTTTAAAAATTCATAACCTACATAGTGATAAAATAAAGTTTACCACTTTAACTTTTTAAGTGCATAATTCAGCTTTCATCAAGTATATTCACAGTGTTGAGCAGCCATCACCCCTACCCAAGATTTTTTAATCATTCCAACAAACTCTGTACCCAATAGACAGTGACTTCCTATACCCCCGCCCCCCTGCCCCTGCCTGTGGTGTCCTCCACTCTGCGTCCTTCTACAAATCTGCCTGTCCCAGTGTCCTGTGGAAGAGGAATCATGCAGTATTTGTCCTTTTATGTCTGGCATATTTCACTTACATAAAGCTTTCAAGATTCATCCACGTTTCAACACGTATCAGAATTTCATTCCTTTTTATGATTGCATAATATTCCTTTGTATGGCTAGACCACGCTTTGCTCACTGCTCTGGTCTGTTCCATCAGTTGACTCCAACGACAGCCTGTATGGGGGAGACTCCAAGTTTCTGGCAGAAAACAACAAGCTCTGTGAGACGGTGATGGCTCAGATCCTGGAGCACCTGAAAACCTTGGCCAAGGATGAGGTAGGTGCCCTCTGCCTGCTCCCTCTGAAAGCATGGGTTTCCAGGGTGGTTGGACATTGGTCCATTCTGGAAAGGAAACTCGGTCATGTGAGTAATGTGTTTCTGTGCAGACCGATAACTGAGTGCTCCATCCAGGGCTTTTGCTCCTGTACTAAATGCTCTGTTTTTCAGTTGCTTGCCTCTCCTACCAGAATATCAGCTCCCTTGGGGGCTGGGACCTTGCGACATGAGTCTCGGAGACCTCCCTGTCTCTGGGGCCTGTGTGTCACTCACCACAGCATCCCTCCACCTTGAAGAGAGGCCCGCATACAGCAGGTGCTTGATCCATACATGCTGAATAAATTGCCTGTATTTTGCACATCATAGGTTTTTTTCATGCCCATGACCAGCCTGAGGTGCAAGTGCTCTGTTTATTCTCATTGGACAGTAAAGGAAACTGAGGCTCAGAGAGGTTTCTCCACGCCCTGGGTTTCCTCTGGTGATAGAACGGGGTCATCACCTTGATCCCCAAGGCTGAACTTTGAGCCACTGCATTGCCCTCCTCGACCAAGGCCTTTCACTTACCTTGTAAGAAGTGGCATGTGGTTCCTGTCCCACCACAGTGGAGGTTGTTTCTCCAGCCTTTGTTTTTTTTTAAGATTTTATTTATTTATTCATGAGACACAGAGAGGCAGAGGGAGAAGCAGGCTCCTCGTTGAGTAGGGAGCCCAATGCGGGGCTCGATCCCAGGACCCCGGGATCACGACCTGAGCCGAAGGCAGATGCTTAACCAACCGAGCCACCCATGCACCCTCTCCAGCCTCTGTTATGTGAGTGTAGCGTTGAGGACTCTGCATTTGTCATTTCACTGAATTCTCACGACAGACCAGTGAGGTGGGACAGCTGTTCCTTTACACTGTACGGACAGGGAGACAGCCCTAGAGTGGTAGCTACACAATGTGGTTGAGGCAGTTTTCTGGAACCTGTGTTCTTAACCACAAATTACATGGATATGTCAGATGCTGCATCTTTTATGTTTTCAGAGCAGTTTTTCCATAGTCTCCATATAGTTAGATGATAGTTAAATTTAATTTCCATTTAGTACAGTCTACATACCTACCTGTTCCCTTCTCCAGTTATGCCAACCACCGCTTCCTTTGCAGCTTCAGTCCTAACATGTAGGTGACAGATGGCTCCCAGAGGCCCCGTCTCAGGCTTGTTCAGACCTAGGCTCATCTCTGGGAGTGTGTTCAGGCTGAACCCTGTTGTGTAGTCGGGGCCTGTGGGAAGGGGGGCAGAGAGGGGCAGTGCCTTAGGAGTCAAAGCTGGTGCTTGACCTTTCTCTGTGTTCTTTCCGTGGGTCGGCTGGTGCCTGAATCTGTTTCCACCTCCATGTGTCATTCCTAATTTCATCCTGGCAGGCCCTGTACTCTCCCGCCACCCTGCTCCTCAATTCCCTTTGCCAAAGCTAAGGCAGATTTCGGACTGCCTATTTCCCAGTAGCTTCCCAGCCTTCCCCTTCCTTCCCTTCCCTTCCCTGGATTCTCCCGTTCCTAGGTTTTGCTCCTTTATCCCCACCCCGTCAAACCCTTTGAAGACAAAATAAGTTCAAACTGAATTTTAGGTTTAATTCATACTCATTTCCGGGGCTATATGAAATACCACCATTGTCCTTACCCCCTTCTCCACTAGAAAACCACAAGAATATTATATAGCTACGTATGGACGTACACGTGTATGATATACATATGTGTTCTGGGTTCCCATTATCCCCAGGATATTCGAGCAGGTGCTGGAGAGAGTGGGATTTTTTTCAGGACTCCATCCTCCAGTGCCCCCTGCCAAGTTCTAGGGCCAGCCTTAGGGTTAGCAGTAGGTCCCACGTGCATCATAGCACACTCTCTAGGGAGGGAGCATGTGTTGGTGTGTCCCACCGACCTGGGGACCCTTCTGGATGCAGGGCTGGGGAAGTTAACACATGGAGGGCGCTTCCCTGTCAGGGGACAGGGCAGAATCAGAACCCCGATTTCTTCAGGGAGACTGGTTTATCAAACCAGTGAGTATCAGGAGAGACAATTCTCCCCCAACTGAAAGGCCTTTTTCAAACACGGGCAAACTTTTAGGGCTAAAGACCCAGCTCTTCTTTGTCTCTGTGTATTGGCAGTTTTCAGGGGAGAGCTCTTCCTACCCTCCAGGAGAAATGGGGTCCTTTATCTTGAGCTCCTCTGCCATGAAAAATTCTTCTTAGGCACCTTTTCCTGATTTTTAAAAACCATGGGCTCTGGCTCCAACTTCTAGCCCAGGGACCTCTTAGAGCAGTACTTTGTTTAACAGATACACCCCAAAAAATTTGCCACGTGGCTTGAAAATACATTTCTTCACCCTGATGCAACAGGCTGGGTTTAATCAGATGTGACCACTGACAGCGTAAATGACCATAGCCTAGCACAACCCCCAAGCTCACAAAAATAAAGCCAAGAACTATACGTAGTAGTTGTGTCCCATTACCACTACCCCCCGCCCCCCGCTGCCATGGAGTTTCAGTTACCTGGGGCCAACCCCGCTCCTGACATCTAATCAGGTCAGTAGCAGCCTAACATGATGTCACGATGCCTGTGTCATTCACCTCATCTCATGGAGTTTATCCCTTTACATCATCATAAGGGTGAGTACAGTACAGTAGTTTGAGAGACCAGATTAACATAACTTTTATTATAGTATATAATTCTATTGTTAATTTCTTACTGTGCCTGATTTATAAACTATCAGAGGTATGTATGTATAGGAAAAAACAGTACATACCAGGTTCAGTACTGTCCGTGGTTTCAGGCATTTACTGGGGGTCTTGGAACACATTTTTGCAGTTGTGGGGGGGATAGTGCTGTGGTTGTATTTAATGTCTCTTTTTCTCTTGGGGGAGGGGGCACTGGTTGCAATAATGACTCTGAAACAGGATTCTGAAAAAATAGCAAAGTTGGAATTCTTCCAAAGAACATTTCAACTCACATAATACCAGGGACATTTAGTGAAAATGTCCTTCCATATATGCACATTTACCGAACTAAAATGGAACGTACCATCCTTCATTTTAACAATGCAGTGCGAAATTCAGCGTAGACAAGCACGTCATGGCAGGGGCCCTGGGAGTCTGGGACCTGGGAAATGGGTCAGAGTTCTCTACCAGGTGGAGAGCAAAGCTTCCTGCTTTTTGAAGACCCCCAGTGCCGATGCCAGGCCTGAGTAGATCATCTCGATGCTGGGAGCAGCCCTGCTTCCAAAATTTTCTCTGAATCTACATGAAGGGGCTCGCCAGTTTACTCATGAACTTCGTGAAGTTGTTTGTTTGGGTGTGGTGAAGCTGGGAATCATGCCAGACCCGTGGAGCTTCCTGGAAATGACAATTTTCATAGGAAAACAATGAAAAGAAGCTCTTTTCTATTTAAAAACCTCTGGAGAAGAGGAGGGGGGCTTCAAGGCCCTGATTTGGTTCTCTCATAATGTGTTCGTGGTTTTTGGGTCTTTGCATGTAGGTTGGCATGACTTCTCATCCCTCAGATCTGTCTCTCATGATTTCACTTTTAATGGGCTGTGCATGTGAAACATGTGGATTGGGCTTTTTAAGATAAAATGCTTACTGAGAAGATACAGAATAGAGAAATAGCTAGTTGTTAGATATTGTCTCCCTTGTCTTTTAAAAAATCTCTCTCACTTCAGTGAAATGTAGTTAAAGGACCTCTCTCCGGGGAGACTCTTTTAGTTGTATTTGAAATAGAATTTGTTTTAGCTTTGTCCTGAAGATACGCACCCTCCTGTTGTCCCAGCCATCAGACAAGGGCTGGTTTGAAAGGCAGGCAGCAGGTTGGGCTGGAACCCACGGAATGGTGATCTCTGCCCAGGTTCCTGGTTGGGGTAGAAGAACTGCATTGTCTTGATTAGAGAGAGGATCCCAAGCAGGCAGTCAGCTGCCACTTAATGAGTCTGTGCCCGGTACTTGCCGCTTTTCTCCCAGGGCCTGCAGGCTTGGGCAGTGCACGGCATGACCCCACTCCTTGACGGTAACGTTCAGTCAGCTCAGCTGCTTCTGTGACTGTCACAGGTCCGGGCCGTTGCCAAGGCAGGCTCGACTGGCCCTGCAATGGAGGTCTCTTCATTGCTGCTCAGCCACCCTTGCCCAACTGTGCTTGAAGCTGCACCTTGATAGTTTTTTTTTCCCTCCACCAAGAGACTGTAAATTCTCACATGGCAGAGGATGGCAGGAAGGATTAAGTTGGCTCAGTAGTTAGAAGAGGATCTGGCTCCCATGAATATTTGTGGAATGATGGATGGACACATCAGTGGTTACTAGGTTGGTTTTGTCCACCTTGAGTAGTTGAGAAAAGCAACTCTTAGCCTCTTCAGAATTTGGATTCCTAATGTGATGCTAACACTGGGTCTATGGGAATATTCCATCAGCTGGAGTGGAACATGGAAGGGTGTGGGCACAGGCTTTGGAGTCAGACCACTGGAGCCCAAATCCCTGCTTTGTACTTAAGACCTGTGGTCCGTGAGCAAGTTCCCCAAAGATTTCTGAGCTTTGAGGGTCTCTGCAAAATGGGAGTGGATTGGATTTCTCTTGCAGCCTTAAAAAAAACTGCCACAAACTCAACAGCTTAAAACACTCACTTATATTATCAGTTTGGTGAGTTGACAGTGAAAATCAAGGTGTTGACTGACTGGCTTCTTTAGGGTGCTGGCAGACTTGAGTTCCATGCAGTTGTAGGACTAAGGTCCGTTCCCTTGCTGGCTCTTGGCTAGAGGTGTTCTCAGCTTCTAGAAGTTGTCTGCATTTCTTGGCTTTTGGCCCCCTTCTTCCATTTGAAAGCCATCAATGATAGGTAGCATCCTCATGCTTCAAATCTCTGTGAACTCACCCCTTCTGCCTCTTCTGCTACTGGTCTCTCAGAAATTTCTCTGCCTCTTAGGGCTCAAGGGATTAGATTGGGCCCACCCAGATAATCCAGGATTCTCCAAGGTCCATAACTCTAATTACATCTACAAAGTCCCTTCACCCTAGCACCCAGTACAGTGCTTGAATAACCAGGGGTTGGGATCCTTGGGAGACAGTGCAAAACATGTACCTACATGTGCCTAGCTGGTCAGAAATGTGCTTCCCACAAAGATGTGCTGTGTAGATTAAATGAGATGAGCTGTATAAAGCATGGAGAATACCTGGCCCACTTTAAGGGCTCCTTTCTCACCTGCTTTGCTGGACTCACTGATGTTCTGCATTGTGAGGCAAGGGCCCAGGTCAACAGCTGTCCAGGGTCCCCATGGACCGTGACAGAACCTGGCTGGCTGGTTAGGCCCACCTGTTCACTGGGCCTTCCCACATGCCTCTATTTAGCTTTTAGAACTTGTATCCTTTCTCCAAGGCCTGTTGTTGAATTCAGGCTTGGTCTACCCTGACATTTTGGTTAGACTTCGCTTGTTTAGGTACCTCTAATCAGAGGCAAGATTTGGTATTGTAGAATAGGTCTTAAGAAAGCTGGGCCTGGGCTGTTTATGGGGAGCTGTCAGTTGGTCTTTATTTCTGCCCTAGACAGTGACCATAACTTTGGATGGCTCAGGATACATCTGAAAGACATTTTATTGTAGCCTTTCAGTTTTTGTTTGTACTTGGAAGAAGGCCTATCACTTCATTCCTTTACCCTGCTGTGTGTGGAGTCTCATGAAAGTATCACTTGCTTCTGCTTCCATTTCATGAGTAATGCCCATGTGGGAGGCACAGAATGAAGGCTTCATATGCTTCATCTCATTCAATCTTCACTTACCCGAGGAGCTGGCACTACCTTACTCTCCTACAGCTGAAGGCGGGGCTTGGGAGGTTAAGCAGCTTGCCCTACGGAAGATGCATGGTAGAGCTGGCATCAACACTGGGTCCAACCTGGGCCCCATGTCCAGATGGTAATCTCTCTCTCCTGTTTCAGGCTTTGAAGCGCCAAAGCTCCCTGGGCCTTTCCTTCTTTAATAGTATCTTGGCACATGGAGACCTGCGCAACAACAGACTCAACCAGCTCTCTGTCAACCTGTGGCACCTGGCACAGAGACACGGCTGTGCAGATACCAGGACCATGGTGAGGCACTGGGAAGGCATGTGGGTCCTGGTAAACCACATGGAGCCACCGGCCAGAGCACAACTGGCCTCAACAAACCCCGGTCTCCCCTTCCTTTTATTCTCTCTGAATAAAATACACATCTATAAAAATATGAGCTATTCCTGGTCACACCAAAATCTGATTTTAGAAGCAAATTATAATCTAAGAAGTTGTACTTAAAGACTTCGCTCTTTAAGATTTTATTTATTTGAGAGAGATGGTGAGAGAAAGCACAAGCAGGGGAAGCGGCAGAGGGAGAGGGAAAAGCAGGCC